GCTAGGCATGTGCTGGCCAAACAGAAGGGCCGCTGGCAGCTACATCAAACCTGTGCTCACTTCAGCCTTGGCCGAGAGAGAACAATCAAGTACTATTTTTGAGGGTGACCGACTGCAAGGCCTTGGAAGGATCATCCCTGGGAGACCTCAGCTGACATCTTTTAAAGCACCAGCAAAAATCCCAGCTTAGATATGAGAGGGATTTTGGTTTTTTTCCTTTCAGAGAGAATGCCTTTTCCACAAATCAAAAGGAATATGTTTAATTAGATACCATAGGATCACAGAATATCCTGAGATGGAAGGGACTCACAAGGATCATCCAGTCCATCTCCTGGCCCTGCACAGGACATCCCTGAGAATCACACCATGTGCCTGAGAGCATTGTCCAAATGCTCCTTAAGCTCTGGGTGTTAAATATACTAAAAAGCAAAAGTGAAGCCGCAGCCAATGAACCCAAACTTGAACCTTTCTATAGAAAACAGATGAGAAGACACAATATCAAGAGAACAGGTCTGCCCACAGTAGAAAAAGATTGCAGAATGCTGTTATGTGCAGACTTTTATTTTCTGAAAAAGAAAATTATATTAAGGAGCAAATTTATTTATTTAGATCCTACTGAATTCCAAGAACCTTGTCTTAAATGCTATTTGGAACCACCTCAGATTCATTTTGAACCCCCAAACGAAGTTTCTCTGCTGTCCACAGCTGACCATCACTGGGCATGACCACAGCCAGGGCTTGGCCTTGGCACATCCAGCGGCCAAGGGGGTTTCCCAGGCCAGGCTTGAATGTCTTGGATTCAGCTTGCTGGTAAAATGCATCAAGTGGTCAACTTGTTCCAAAAGGATATCACCTGGCAGCACATTTATCAGGGACAGCACTGTGTCACCCTTCCTGCACAGCAAGCACATTTTTACCCAACTGCCTTTAAACCTGGAATTTAGCAGGAAAAGTTCAGCATGAGCTTGCCCTGGCTCATCAGTTAGTAGCAATTATGCCTGACTGGACACAGGCTAGACTCTGCTGCAATTTCATGGGAAGCTTGGAATACACATGGCACTAAGATGGGTCTGTATGTGGCGAAGCGGATTGCAAAGCAAACTGCTCCTTTGCTTAACTTCTGTGAAAGACTATCTACCTATGAAAGTCCATCCCAGGGGATAAGAGCATCCTGGTGCATGTCACTCTGCTCCAGACTCAGCCTGGACCCTGCTCTCCACTGCACCCTGCACTGCACATAGTGGGTTTCCCCAGGGCTGTGTTGGCAGCACATGTATCCAGCACAGCAGCAGTCAGTCCCTCACTGCCTGGACAAAGTGGATACTAGAACATTTATCATGGGCCAAACTCAGTTGTAGTGTGAGTTTGTGGTTGGGGCAGGAACACAGTAATGCTGCACAAGCTCCAAGTAATGGATGTATTCATGGTGCTGACAAGCAATTTGCCACATTGGAGCATTACAGGCAGGCACCAGTGGCTTCCCAGAGCCACCAGACACTGGAGTTAGGACAGCTGCCCTGGAAAAGCACACACTGTTTCTCTTCAAATCATGAAATGACTTTGCCATCACAAGCTTATCCAGCTATCTTATGTGGCATGTACTGGTTTGGACACTGCTAGGAAACTTGTCTGTTCTTCACTGCTATTGTCCTTGGCTGCCATGCTCTCCCTTGCCAAAGGAATAACTATGTCAGCATTACACACACCATGCTCTTTTGCCTGCTCTATCTGCTAATCAATTACAGATCCACCAACAAATGCTTTTTAAACTGAAGAAGTTAGAAAGTAGATCAGTCTGTCAGCAAACTGATCTGAAATATTCCTAGTTGCTTATTATTTTATTTGACTAAGGTTATGGCCTCGATTACTCAGAACCAACTACACACACAAAATGCTTACTCAGGCAAATGGTGCTAACCCCACTAGAAATGACTCTGAGGCAACTTTCCTGCCATACAACCTGTCCTGGAATCAGTCCCTTTAGCACAAAAGGAGTCCTCCCATCTAGGCAAGGTGCCTGACTTCTGGCAGAACAACCTGAGAGCTGCTGTTCCTCCCACTGGGAATCTGTCTGGCACCTGTGAGCTTCTGCTCATTCGAGTGATTTTTGTCTCTCCATACTCATCTAGTGTCAAATAAAAGAATTTCTCAGGGACTTTAAGCCTATGTAGGATCTGTAATGGTATGTTATTATTAGTCTTCATTCTTTCAATGGTGTGCTGATGTTCTTCCAAGGCACAAGATATCATTCTGAGTATGATTGTGCAGAGAACTTCTAAAAAGTAATGAACACTCATCAGTCTGTAATTGTCCTCGTCGTTTTGCTCATTTACTTGTGGTTCTGTTTCCCCAAACGGAAATTATTCGAACTTGGATCTAAACAACCCAAACAGAACACAGCAAAGAGCCCTCAAAGCAAACCTATCTGAGTGATGGTCTCATAACCACATTCTCCCACTTGAACAGCTTTAATGATTTGCCAAGAAAAAATTACAAGTAGTTTTCCTTTGTCCCATTTGCAACAAATGAAACTTTATTGTCACAAGTTTGGATGAGATTAGTATTTAATCTTTCTTATCACTACTGATTTAGTTAGGTTTTCTATACTGAACTATTAAAGACACATCCCACTGAGCACTAAGCACTTGCTAATTTTATTATACACAAACTATAAATTCATCAACTGGATCAACATCAGGACTCTTTAGAGCTGCTGGCAACTTTCAAATATTATTTGGGACAATGTAAGAAAATGTTTCTCCAGGAAGAAGTTGTAATCCTTCTGTCCTATTTGTACCCAAAATGCAGACTGAAGGTGTGTGTGTGTCTGTGGTTTCTCCCTACAGAAGGGAGAAGTTTTTAAATTAGTTTGTTCATCAGATTGATCTAAAAGTTACATTTTTGCTGCTCCAGAGTTCTTTCCACTGCAACTAAATACCACTTACAGAGGAAATAAAGGATCAAAAATTACAGTCTAGAAAACCAGATGAAAGCGGCATTTGTATTTTTGGTACAAGGCTACTGACTTTTCCTACACCAACAAGAAAAAGAACTTGACCTTATCAGCGTGGTATTTCATACTTCTTTTCTTGGACATTGTTAGCATAATGAAAACTTCTACTTTCCAATCTAGATCAGAATTATGTGGGCTAGTAATCCCCAAAATCTCTTGGAATCTGGGGCTTTCCAAAATCTCCATCTGTGAGTTGAACGACACAGGTCATCTGCACCAAATCCATCTGCTTCCCATCGTTTTCCTGCAGAAATGTGGTCACTAGTTACTGAAATCATAAGGATTGCAGAGGTAGGCACTGGCAACACTGAACTCAATTTGAAGCTGATGGCTGGAAGTGTGTGGGGAACAAATGCTACCAAGAAAGCATACTGTAGTCAAAGTCTACTTTGTCAAATAAAATCTATATTTAAGGAGTAAGAATGCTGCAGACAGAGAATCCTTCCTGCCACAGGGAAAGGAATGAAGGCCTGTGTGGGTACACAGTGAAGTTGCCAAGGTCTTTTGCAATGGATCAGAGGACAATCTTTATTATTCCTTTTCAAAGATTGTCCAGATCAATGGAAAGATTCCCTCAGGCTTCAGGGGATCTTGTGTAAAAGGAAGAGACAAATCATGGAATCACAGAGTGGTTTGGGTTGGGAGGAACCTTACAGATCATCCCACTATGGACCTTCCACTAGACCAGGTTGCTTCAAGGCATGTCCTACCTGGCCTTGAGCATTTGCAGGGATGAGGCAGCCACAGCTTCTCCAGGCAGCCTGTTCCATGCCTAGCACCAACAATGCCTGAGCAGGACTGGTTTGGGTACAGAATATGTATGTAATGAATTTGTATCATACAGTTTTCCTGGGGAGCAGAAACCATGGCATACTTCAGAGTATTTCCTATCTGACTTTATTTCCTCATGTCTCAACAAACACAACAAACTGAAACATGGAGCTATTTCTTTTCTGTCCTGTAATAGAAAAGATAACATTCTTTTGATGCCCAGAAAATACATTAAACATTCATTTATTTATGAGATTTTCATTATATTATTACATATGCCTTGGTTTGATGCATAGGAAATGTGCAGTTTAACATGCTAATTTAATTACCAATTTTAAAAAGACATGGAGCTGTATAACAGACAGTACATACAGGTCTGAGTTTCCCACGTATTGCTGAGTACAGGTGAGATTGGAATTTTATCAATGTGCCTTATCCTTGTGACAGAGTAATTTCACTGAGAGGTACTTGTTTAATTAGGATCAAACATAATCTTATTATCAATTAAGAAGTACAAAAAAAAGGAGTATTTTTAATATGTGCAATACCTTGTTAGTCTCCTACTGTTTCTAATTCCTTTTGCACTTCCTCTGGCAGCCACAGCTGAATGGCACTTCTTAAAATCCAGGCTGAACTTCTCAGGAGTTACTAGCAATTCTGGAGGCCTATTCAGAGTTATCCTACAGGGGCCCAACCCCAAATATTAAGCACTCTCTGACAACCTGACTCCTTCAAGGCAGTTAATGTTGAGATGAAATTTTTAATCCTTACCCAACTTCTTCTATCCAAAGATACTGTATACTCATCCCAATGAACTCTGACATCTGTTTCGTTTCACAGCCTCAATCACTCAGGTTATCTGACCAAGGAGCAACAGTTGAGATCTGCCTAAACATTTAGAAAAGTTTTAAATTTCACTAGGCAGCTGAGCACTTTTACACACTACTTATTTATACAGACAACTACATCAGGCTCACTCAATTTGCTCCACCCTATGTCTAATCAACACAATAGCTTGGTATTTGTCTTAAACTATAAACCAATCATTTAAAAATTAACACACATAAAAAAAGAACACTATTGGGTTTTACAAACAAGTATATGACATAATAGCTTGTGGTAATGCTTCAGGCTGGAGCATTGCTCATTGGGGTCTGAAGGCTCTCAGAACCAGTACTCAGACACAAAGATGTGAACGTTGACGATGTTGCGGTGCGACACGACCCCACCCATGACGTAGTTCATCTCCAGTTTCAGGATGGCATGGAAAGGTCCAACAATGGGCCTCACCTGGCGAACGACACCTGTTGGGGCAGAAATAGGTTGCTGAGATTAACAGGAGAATCAGCCAAGTCTGGATGAGCAACACTGTCCTTTGTGTTCCGTAGAGTCCATGGAAAGGTGTTTCATCGATTGGGTCTGTAAATAGCTTGCAAAATAAGAATAAAGTACAACTTTCTAATCAAAATACCTTGAAGAAGATCTAGAATTACGACTAAAATGTTGCTAATAGCAGAAAAAAATACCCTATATGTTCTGAAATTAGTAATATTTTTGTTACATTTTATTTGGAGAGAAAAACTCACTAAGCAGGCTGTGACACTGCTTTCACATAGGGCATGAGGAGAGTTCCCTGAGTAAGACAGCACACACACTGCCTCTAGGAATATGTGAACACACCTGGGAATGCCATGCAATTCCTGGTACTCTCTTGAAAACTGCATCTCATTTGGAACAGTAGAAATGATTTGTAATGCACAAGTAAAATGAACCCTTTCCCTGTAAACATCAGATGGTACCAACCTGTAACTCGTTAGTGTGCCATGTCACTGGAAGCAACAGGAATAAAAGCAGGGGAGTTTAATGAGGGAAGGGGAACTATCACTGCAGCTCCTCCTGAGTCACTCCACATGGATGAAGGCTGTTCCCTCCCCAGGGTTTGATAAGGAGTAGTAAGCTGTGTCTTCTAGGGCTCTAGTCCTCTGGTTGGTTTGGCATGGAGCCCCAGTGCTGGGGCGTGGCAGGATGAAGACTGCTGGGGTCCTCAGCAGGGTGGCAGAGCAGGGCTGGTCCCACCACTCCAGCCTGGCAGCAGGGCAGGCCAGGGGCAGCCAGGTTCAAACAAGGGCCTAGATCATGGGGATGATGCTGGGCCAAAGTCAAACTCTGGAGGGAGCAGTGTGGGTCAGGGTCCAGAACAAGCAGACCCAGAGCTGTGATGGATCTGGAGAGCAGCCCCCCTCCAGCACTGCTCAGGCAGGGACTGACACTGAAGTTGGGCTCCTGGACTCCATGCAGGCTGTGAGAGAGGACCCTGGGGAGGCACACCTGGGCCTTGACATAATGTGGCTAAACAGAATATCTTTGCAGCTTCAGACTTATAAAACAAAATCAGCACAAACTTTGCTGCCAACTGCAAAGGCTCCAGATCAGGTCCTAAACATGTTTATTTTCTAAGTCTGGTGTTACAGAGTAGGCAGCTACCAAACTACTCTCATCTGAAAGGATGTATCCACATGTCAAAATCATGTGGAGCCAAGGTCAGCCAGCAGGCACAGGGAGCCTGGTGGAGACCCCCCCAGACACCTCCTTCTGACAACTGACTGACCTGACAGGGTATTTGATTCAGAAGGAAATACTCAGTTTAAGGGAGGATTATTTACTGTGTTCCTCCTGCATGCTGGGGGTTATGTTTCACAAGCAGCAGCACACCAGCACCGTCCTGGACTCCCAGCCCAACTCCTACTGCCATCCCCTGTGAACACACTGGCTTGAGATCTGATGGGAGACATAAACGTTTGCTTATGCAGACTGTCAGCACCTTTTCCTAAGGCAGCGATGACATTACAGTTTTGTCCTGTTCAAACACTAATATCTTCAGCATGCAGTGAAATTGCAAACTTCTCACCACAGTCGCTTTGCTTGCCATGTTTGATGAATACACTTTTTAAGTGTCCTTCCCCCTACAGTTTATATGTACACACACACACACACACACACACACACACACACACACACATATCCTTCTGGGTTTTTTCCAGTTTTCTTGGCTGCTCTCCTGTACCTTATAAAAATGACTGGGCTTGGCAGATGATATATTGAAACAGAAAAGCCTTGCTAAAATTGCCCTCCCTTTAGGGTAGCATTTAAGGCATTTTGCTAACAACACATCCCATTATTGCAGGCATTGCTCTAACTGACAACCACGGAAACACACAGCTTTGGAATCACTCAGTACTGGCAATCTGCTTAACCCACCCTGTGAGCAGCTCCTGCAGCCATCACAAAGCCTTGGACAGCACAGGCTGCTGTTTCCATTTAGCAATCTTGGAGCATTCTACACTTCTTGCCCTGCTCCAGTAGACTGTACTCTAGTCTAGAGGTGGGATTGCAAAGGGTGGTTTTCTGCTGTGCTATACCACAGTATGACATCTGTTCACACATCACTGATGCAGCATTCAAAGCCATTAATAACTTTTTCATTTCTGTTCAGATGCAATGGGCAAACACTGTGATCCATGTGGCAATGCCTTTTCACACAGTTCTCTTGCTGCAGTTTTCAAATCAAGCCTATGAAGTGGCTGAAGTGAATGCCATGTGTATAGACAGCTATATTGAAGCAAAAAATTGAGGGGATGTACGAAGTAACACAATACTCTCACAACTGTCATTTCTCCAGAATGTTGTGCCAATGTCCTAGATGGTCCCGAAATGAGCTCCACTGCAGGCACTTCTTTCCCATTAAATAATCAGGATGATGCAGGCAGTTGGGTTGGAACCTCAGCATGTGTTTACTCACGTGTAGTCATTCTGAATGGGCAGAGGGGAAAAATTAGTAAGGAAAAAACCTGAAATGTTCTACTGGACAAATGCATAGGAGAGGTTTGCAGTGCTTGGCAGTTCACTCCTTGAGAACTTTCTTTTTTTTTCTTTTTGGTGAAAAGTGCTAAAATGGAAAACCTGAGTGCCTCCACCAAACATAAGGACAAATGCAGGTGCAAGCCATGCAACAGCAAAGCTACTCAGAGCCTGAAACCTGGCTCCATGCTTATCCAGCTCCCAGAGATCCTGTCGCAGTGGCCCTGGGACTTGCCCCAGGAGTGCAGTTGAAGGCCACCTGCTATAAGTGTCACTGCCATTCAGTGCTGCCTGTGTCTGACTCTCTAATGCCTCGTGTCTTTCACATCAGCTACAATGGAGGCACAGCTCTGCCAGACCCAAACAAGGCCAGCAGTGCCTTGGGTCTACTCTCACAAACAGAAGTCTAAAGAAAAAGCTTGAGATCCAGGCCTGGTCCCGATAATTCACACACATGGCTCAGTTAATCCGTCACTATCCCAAAAGCATTTAGCACAGGACACATTTGAAGAAGCCACATGTAATAATTCTGGATGTTTTTAAGCAACATGGATTTATGAGCTACATAGATATGTTCTTTCGCTAGCCCTTTTGGCAGACTAATGGTGGGCCCAGATTTGTGGTCTGGCATCCTTCAGCAGTTACAGCTGAATATTAAGTAGAAAAACATACCTTATAGCAACAGGAAGTTACAATTACTAATTGCACTGAGAAGTCAGGAAATTTAGAAATTAAGCAACTGCTTTTTGATCTCTTCTTTTACCAGTCTAAATCCAAAGTAGCCGGATGGAGCCACTCGGATTTGACATGGGGATAACTGCAGACTGGGCCTTGGTCCTGGATCACTGTAGTAGTGACCACTGTCCTGTGAGTCCCTCTCTGTAGGATGTCAGGAGTACACTAGTGTGGCTCAGTAAATGACCTGAAAACACAGGAGTACACTGGTGTGGCTCAGTAAATGACCTGAAAACAGAGGTCTCACAGGACCAGAGCTGCAGGCTCTGCAGTTGGCAGATGGGGTGAGTTTATTTAAGCAAGTTCACCCCAATCCTTTCCCAACAAAATTAGATTTCAGCTAGGTCAGCATTTTGCACACACAGGATCAAAAACAACAGGAGAATATGTGTCTTTATTAGAACAAGGTGAGTCACTGACAATAAATGAACAGGGAGATTCCCACTGCTGCTGAATCCATGTGTCAGGCAACCTCGAGCATCTGTGTTGCCTTGCCTACAGACTGATCTGTGCCAGCTAGTGCTGGTACCCTCCAGCCTGATGTGTGCTGGTGCTGTTCATTCTCTTTGGTTCACAACCTGTGACCCGAACACAGACTCAACCTGCAGCAAATGCCATGTGTCACAGGCCAGGCAGACTGCTTTCCATCAGCTCACCTGTGTTTGGATTTGCTGTTTTGTTAACTGAACAGAGATGTCATTACACATCCCAAATCTGCTTAGGTACCTTCATGGTTTGCTGACCTCCTTTTAGAAAGCACTGATAAGACTTGTTTTTCTTGCACACTTTGCCCTTATTGTAAACAGGATCTTCAGCAATCCTTTCCACCAGCTGATCTGTGTAAGCAAACAGCCCCAGAGTGAGAGGCAGTTAGTTTGTGGATGTCACAGTTGATAGTCTGTCCATGGCCCAGAACTTTTAAAGCTCTGTAATTAATACACTGTGCTGCTCTCTAGTCCTGTTTCTTCTTTCACGTTTCACATTTTGGTTTTGTCTAAGGTAAAAGGATGTCCCACCTATAGTGAGGACAATAGCCTGAATAGTATATACTACCTATTTTCAAGTGAGGGCAATGAAAACAGCCAATAATCTTACAGCCCCCGTCACTGGCTTAACAAGGCTTTGCTTATCAGAGAAGATGGGATAAATAAGACAGCAAGGTTAATATTGTTAATCTTCCTAAGCCTTTCAGCAGCATTTCTATTACTGTAATCAGATAAAATCAAATAATTGTTTAGGTTGGAAAAGACCTCTTAGATCATCAAGTCCAACCATTAACCTAACACTGCCATCACTAAACCATGACCCTAAGTGTCACATCTGCATATCTGTCAAATGCCACCTGTTGGTGCTTCAATCACTTCCCTGGGCAGCTTGTTCCAATGCTTTGCAAGCCTTTTAGTTTAGGAATTTTCCCTAATATGCAATGTAAACCTGCCCTGGCACAACTTGAGGCTGTTCTCTCTCCTCCTGTTGCTTGTTACCTGGGAGCAGAGCCTGAGCCCCACCTGGCTACACCCTCCTGTCAGGGAGTTGTACAGAGCAAGAAGGTCCCCCCTGAGCCTCCTTTTCTCCAGTCTAAACACCCCCAGCTCCCTCAGCCACTCCTCACATGACTTGTTCTCTAGATGCCACAGGTATTCCTTGGCCTGTCTATACCTCTGCAAGATATCATTACATTGCTCTGCTTTGAAATATGTGAGACCCTCAG